TATGTATGTATGGATAGATGGATGTATATATGTATGTATGTATGTATATATGTATGGATGTATGGATGGATGGCACCACGCCAGGCGAAAGGAAGCTGTTTTGAACATTAAATAAACGCATAACACATAAACACATAAATGCATAATAAACACAACGGGTCAGTGGTGACACATAATAAATGCGACTTATACACCAGAAAATATGGTACTAATGAGACCTAACACACAGCTCCTGTGAGGCATCACAGGTGTGAGAAGCAGGGGGTCATCATAACAGGGAGAGCAGGACAAAAACGTCACTTAAGAGGGCACAATCCTCACAAAATACCATAAAAGACAAAATTAGCTAAATTTTTCTGGTGGGTGTGTTTTTTTAAAAAGTTTGAATGGTTGCTCAAGTGTGTTGAATACCAAACGTGCTATATTCATATTGTGTGAATTATAATTAAGAAACTGTGTGCATTACTAAATATACTTAAAATGTCTTTGTTAAACTACTACTATATAATTTCAGAGATTTTTTAAATTTTTTTATTTTATGATTAAAAGTTGTTTATTTGCAATATTTATCCCGTGTTACGATTTAAAAACACAACCAGTGGACTAAGTTTGCTCATAGTGTGAAGTACAAGATAGCAGGTGTTTTGAATACACATATCTATCGTTAATTGGCCAAAAAAGTAAGATTACAAAACATTATGATATGTATGGTACATTTGAAAAAAAGAGTGCAAGTCTATGCTAAATACAAAGTAAATAAATAAATAAAAAGTTGTTGCAGAGGAGCTGCACAAGAGCATCTCGGGCATTCTTACCCTCATCTGCACCCTGTTCTGCCGCCACAGACCCATGTCTGCTGCACATCCCATGTGTTCTCGTACGTCTCTCCATCACTTTCACACAAACTGTGGAGAACACAAGTTGTCACCATCATTTTCACAAGGTCTACGTCACACATTCTTTTTCAGCAAACAACACCAACGTCTCTTTAGTTGCCAAAAAGCGTTCTCCACCGCCACCTGAGCTTAACTGGGTTTGTGGTTGAGTCGTCCGGTGTCGATACAGTTTCAGGAGCCAGTCCTGTAAAGGATATGCTGAGCCTCTGAGGATGTAATGACTGCACTGATGTCAGCGTAAGGTGGGAAAAGATTTGGTCAGTGGTCAGTTTCAGCACTCTTGTGTCATGCAAGCTCCCTGGCAGTCCTGCGAAGGCATTCCAGAAGAGCCCCATCAAGGATTAGAGAATGCCAGCCTTTACAGTTATGGTTGTTATTTCAGTTTTCCCTTCAGTTTTTGTTTAGCAATGCTTCTTACTTCTGATTTACTGATGGATATTGTAAAGTTGATTTGATCCTTTTGCTGCCCTGCCTGCTGCTTCATTTGCTCTGATTTGTGCTGGTGTCCATAAAAATGTTCCTGTCAGTCTCATCATTTGTAATCTGAATAATATTTGTTGCATTTCTAGTAGAATGTCCAGTTGGCTATCTGATTGACTATTCTGCAAACTGATGAGTGTTGAACTTGAATCTGAACAGATTGTTTTTAACGGCCTTGTGTCTTCTACTCACTGCACTGCCAACAATACTGCCAACATCCCCCCGTGTATACTGATACTTTGAAGCAACCTGTTTTGGGCCAATGTAGAATGTATTTTTGTTATATCATCAGTAATACTGTATGATATGATATGCATGGAAGGTCTTATCACCAGCAAATATGAAAGAGAAGTTTGTTATTGTAATAATGTTATCAGTGAGCCTACATGGACAAGAATTACAGACTTCATGGAGTCTGGGCTGGGGCCTTGGGTTTTGGTTAGTCAGACCCAGATTGTTCTCTGCAGAGTGGTGTTGTTGGTAGGCTCGATGTTTTCCATTGTTGTGTCGAAAATAAAATGATAACTTGAGTTTTTGGGGGGGGGCTTCAAAATAGGCCGTGAATGAGAAGTAACGTGTGGTAATCCAAAGGGAACATTTTTATCCTTAATTTAATCTCACATTATGTTCATTGTAACAATCCTATACAGTAAGTTACAACAGTATTCCCCCCTGCTCACTCGTAATCTGTTCTCTTTTTTTTGCCTTTCAACGTGAAATTTTATTGAATTTTTGGTTTTATTTTAAGTAAAATGCTAAAAATACTAATGGTTAAATAAGGGAAAAAACATGTTTGAAATTATTCTAAAAGCATTATCCTGAAAAGCGATCATATGAGGGAGAGTATATCAATATGGACTCACCCTCTCACAAGCAGTGGCGCCTCGTATGTGATATTAAGAAGTTTGTAAGTGGCTGTTGTGTTTAAAATGAGTGTTAATGTAATTAATTTCAGTTTACATATCCGATATAAGTTTTATTTGTTAAAGACAGTCATATTTGTTCATAACTTTATTATTAGTAAGCCTGAGAATTACTGGATCCAAGCAAACAGTTACTGGAACACACCCTGTCAAAATAAGAGAGTTCCCGAATCCTGTTCCGCCAGGATCCGGCTCAAATTAAGCCCTGGTTGAGCCACTTATCGCCAAAGGTACAGCAGCAAGTCTCCTCAGATCTGTCCTCTAGACACCGGCCTTCTTGTCCATTCTTCATGACCAAACTGCCCCAGTTCCTTGATGTTGGACAGTTGCTGCTTGTGTCCAACAATCTTTAAGTCAAACCAGAGACTCTCAGCTGGATTCAGGTATGAGTTTTGACCGGAACATTCCAGGACACATCTCAAATCACTGGAACGTTACTTCAGCTCTGTGTTTTGAGGTATTATCCTGCTAGAATGTGGTCTCAGATTTTTCTAAACCATTTCTCTGGTTTTGTGCCATGGTAACCCTAAACCAGACCCTGTTAATGAAAAACATACCCCCAGCATGATGCTGCTGCCTCCAGCACGTTTCACTGTGAAGATGGTGCTCTCGGCATGATGAGAAGTGGTACATTTCTTTCAGACATGATGTCCCTGATAGCTTAAACTCATCTGTTGACAGAAGAGTTTGGTCTCATCTTACCACAGCACCAACGGATTAAAATTCCAAGCGGATGTTTTTCTTTAATGTGTTCATCTTTCAATGCAGCTCAGCTCTTTGTAGTTTAAAAGGTTTAAAGACAGATACTGTCAACTGCTGAGGAGTTGTCCAGGGCTACCTTTGGCCATCTAGATGTTTCTCAGATTAATGCCCTTCTTACTCGGTCCATGGGTTTTAGGACAAACTACTCTTGTCATATTTGATGTGGTTACAGTGTCTTTCCTTTTTCTAATACCATTTTTAAAGGAGTCTTGATAAAATAGGAAGGTGCTATATAATATATAAATACAGTCCATTAAATATTTTAATTGAGGTCTTGTAGCTCATTTTGACCCTAGGGTAGAAGGAGGGTCAACTTTATTAATCACTTACAATAAATGCATGTTTTGATTAAATTTCAAACAAATTTAAATTCAAAATAGACAAATTGCCAAGAGAGGGCGGGGTGAATATTTTGTAACTCTTCTAGCAAACTGTGTGCTATTTGACCTGCTCCATGTTTCAAGTCCTCCTAATGAATAATATGTAATTTACTTGTTTCGTTGTGCAGCTGGTGCTGGATGCAGAGACCGTGCGTATGCCCAGCCTGCCCCTGAGCAAGGAGGGGGTTTCTGGCTACGCTCAGGGTCTCTACGAGGTCTGCGTCTGTCCCAGTGGAAAGCTATTTCTATCCAAGGCCGGAAGAACTTCCACTTGCATCGATTATCACGACTGCTAGACTCTGACAAGGCCGTCGACGTTTCATCTCTCTGAGGATCACCCTTCTGGGACGCAACAAGCACAACTGTTCATACGTTTGTCTTTTTCTGACGTTTTTATACCACAAAGGATCTGCAATAATCTCACCAGCACACTAAGGCTGGTAATATTATAACTGCCTGCTGACGTACATGTCAAGATGCCCTGGAACATTATTTTACTGTTGCATTTGTGAACATCTAACTAGTCATCTGAATCAACATCGATATATTGTAAATTCATGTTTTTCGTTTCTTTACACATGCAGTAACATGGCTGGGCAATGAGGGGCTGGTAACAGCTTACATCCTATGCAATATTATCTTGTGGTGCAATAAATGATGCTGACACATATGAAGGACTTGGAAAACCAAAACACTTGAAAGAAAGGAAGAAATGTTTCTTAGAAATGGTTTATGCAAATCTTTCTGCAAGATTCCGAGCCCTTGGTATGTGATTTTTGTTTTTCTTTAATTGTTGTTTAGCGTATTTTCATTTTAAAATGGTTTTTACCAAGACTAATCCAAATGCAGCATTAATGCAGTATCTCACTGGGCTGCTACTGTTGGTAATTATATTAGCTGGAGATAAAACTACGAGAAAAATTGCACATTTTCACTTGGAAGCACATTTATTCAGCACGTTTCTGTGCTTCAGATTCAGTTTATTATTGCCATTGTCAATGAACAGGATTCACAGACTAGGAACTTGCTTCGGCATAAAGGTGCAAATAAAATATAAAAAAAAATAAAAAATAAAACATATGAACACCAACCAATACACTCTTCGCACAAATGTTGCACGATCTCCTGATAAAATTTGAGCTCCTAAACACAGAGTAATTATCAAACCACTGTTGCATGACAAACCCCCCACCCCCCCCCCCCAAAAAAAAAAAACTCAACAGTTGGAAGAATGTTGTGCAACAGTGGTGCAATAGTTTTGTGCGACAACTGAGGTGCCTCTCTTCAGACCAGCAACTGTTTTGTCATCAGATATAAAGCAATACAAACGTCAGAGAAGAAGTGCAGAAACTGCTGGATGGGTCCCACAGCTGGATGAGGACCAGGCTGACATGCTAAAAGCTGCAGCAGGTCTGCGGTCAGTGGTGCTCGTAATGTCCGTTTATCACTGACCCCATCACCCTGACAGTGAAATCCATCCTTACCCATCGGACTGCGTTCAAACTGGTTTAATTACATATGTGAATGGCCTAATTGCATATTGAAATTTTTTCACTCAAATCACCTTGGGAGGTTGTCTGGACCCGTTTAATCTGCCTGCTTTAGTATTTTGAATGCAATCTGTCCTGAGCCCTACTCTGAGCCGACAGGACAAGGATTTTATTAATCAGAGGGCATTACCAGCACAAGTGTTACCCTTTAGTTTACAGTTTGTTCTCATTGTTTTTAGAGCTGAGTGGCCCCCCTGTGGTCATCGTATGCTGCAGTGTGCTGTGTCAGACATAGAACAATCAGCATTATGTTGCTTTGTGTTTCTAACTGAGCAGTTTCGTTCCCAGTGAATCAGTAAAATATTTTCTGCTGCCAGCACACTGTGCTTCACTGTGGTGATTTTTTGGGGGGAATCTTCAGTCTTTGTTCTGAGAATGACCTCTGTGAAGTCACTGCATTATATTTCTACCATTTTGTGCCTTGAACATCTACGTTTACCTGGACAGAAGTAATCAGATTAAACGGCCATTCGAAATAGAAATGTGTCATGTAAACGCCCCATTAGGATTATTTTTTTGTTGATTCAGCTCGATCCGAAAGAACTTGTAATCCGAATGAGAGGGGTGGTTTATGCCGATTCATAATCCAAACGGAGTGCATGTAAACACTTAATCTGATCATTTTTTTCCCCGATTGTGGAAAACTGACCTGACTGCACATGTGCGACCTGCCTACTTCACGTATTTCCACCTGGCTAATGGTAATATGTCGGGGAAGTAAAACTGGTTGGTAAGTGATACAACATTTCTAGTAGAAACTTTGAAAGAGCTCAAAATGATCTGTATTACCTGTAGCTCAGTCAGGGAGTGCAGGAACGTCTCGACCGTCATTAAAACCTGTCGCGGGTCCATTTTGGGCACGTCATTCCCCGATCTGTTACGGAAGCACGATCCGTAGTGTACTTCTGGGTCGCACGGATCATCGTTGTTTATGAATAAGAACTGTCTTAATTTACTTAGAAAAGTACGTGCTCTATCTCTGCCGATCTTCATGTAGCTAATTTACGCCGCTCGTGTTTCCATTACAAATCATTGGTTAAGATGATATGTGACGCATTAGACCTGACCCCCAGCTTGGGCTGAATGAGAAAAACCCTGCAAGATATAGAATTAATTATTTCCATGATGAAACAACGACGCTCAGTGGTGAAGCTGCATATCATTTTAACCATGACGTAAATATGTCAACGATTTTAATCGGTAATACTAGTTGCGTAAATTAGCAACATGAAAATCAACGGAGATAGAGCACGTACTTTTTTGAGTAAATTAAGACAGTTCTTACTCATAAACAGAATTATATCAGTACACTTTCCTTAATCTAGCATATTCAACGGCGATCCGTGCAACACGGAAGTACTCCTTTTAGCGCATGCACAAATGAGCTACACTATGGATCGGCTTCCGTAACAGACCGGGGAATGATAGGGTGCTCAGGTTTGTTTACATCCCGGAAGTAAACCGGAAATAGAACTTCTTCTCCGCTGCATGTAAATGCTCGTCGTGAACAGATTGTGCACATGTAAACGATACGTTCAAATTATTTAATCTGAAAACATTTCAATTCGGTGAAAGAATTTTGCGCATGTAAACATAGAGGCTTATCAAGCATTAACTGTTATTGTTGAAATAATAACGTAGTTCAGATTTCTGAATGTGTGGTAACTTTTACAGAAACTGATTTGACAGCAGTCTGTGTAAAACATTTCCGTAATGTGTAGTTCATGTGTGGAAATTTAAAAATAAAAAAAATAAAGTTTCATTACATTTAGGAAACTCCTGAGCAAATGTTTGTAATTTATCTCCAGTTGAAACCCAGTGAGATAGAAGCTTAAAGAACAAATTTCAGTTTTTGTTTTGTTTTGACTGTGTAAAGAGTTTGAGATAAAAATGTCTTGGTGACATCACTGGTTTTGTATTGCATACGTCTTTCTACCAGTTAAAATCATTTTGGCTTGTGGTGGACTTTGTTTTGGTATTTCTTTTTTTATTTTTTTTTAACGAGCAAGTAATTACTCATCTACAAGATTTTTGTTGTTTTGCAAGTTAGCTGATGTTTTTCCAATAACTTCACGTGCAGCCAGTGTGATAGCAAATCACAACTTTTAATCCTTTAAATACAAGAATAACCAAAAAAAGACAATATAAGTCTGAAATGCATTAAAGGGTGCTTGAAAATAAAACTAGAAAGATAACTGAAAATTAAATCAACTACTTTTGTCTTTTATTTGGTCAGATTTCAATTAAATGTGTTCTATTTTATTAGAGAAAGGATGTGACCTGTATTTATTATCTATGTTGAATAAACTTTGTTATTCTGACTTTCACTCCAAAAAATGCTCTAAAGCACCGTTGACCTCTTTATTCACTACCTTACTACGACTGTACCATTTCAGGATCCACTGATTCATACTTTCTGGTACATTTGATTTCAGGATCCACTGATTCATACTTTTTGGTACATTTGATTTTAGGATCCACTGATTCATACTTTCTGGTACATTTCATTTCAGGATCCACTGATTCATACTTTCTGGTACATTTGATTTTAGGATCCACTGATTCATACTTTCTGGTACATTTGATGCATAATTTGGTCTTTATCATTCTTGATACCTTAACGATGTGCTTTAGCAGAGAAGCTTTGCAGCTGAATAAAACAGATTTTATTTTTATTAAAAAAACATTTAACTTAAATGTACATGACATTTTATGCATTAGCTTCCCTATAATATCAATTTATCTTCCACCGCCCAAGGCAAAAGGGTGATCATATTTTTGCTCATGTCTGATGAACCACTGGACAGATTTTAATAAACCTCATAGAAAGTGTCATCGGATACAACCGATTAACTTTTGGCATCAACCCAATGTGGCTACAGCTGATTTTAGCAATCACCTACATGTCTGTATTTTACAGATGTTGAGCTACAATGTGATAGCTCCAACACATACCAAAAATAATACGCAACCCTTACATTATAGACCGCATACAAAAAATTCTTGCCTGGAAATGCCTCGAGTCCTCCCAAGAAGAGGTGGCTGTGGAAAGAGATGTCTGGGCTCTCCCTGCTCAAGCTGCTGCCCCACGACCCAACATCAGAACAAGCAGGAGATAAAAGTTGGATGGATTATATTTTAAAATTATGTCTAATGTTATTATTCTGAAAATACAAACTGGCCGTGTTGATTTAAGGGAAATTTATTAGGTCTTGCTTTGTTCAGTAAAACCCACTATTACCTCAAGCTTGAGACAGAGTAAGACAAGAGATGCCAGGAAGCACTTTTTAAAATGATTTTCTTTTGTACATGACATGCATATTATGCTGTCATTGTTCGTGAATCCTTTCAAATTAAAGTTACAGTCTGGTGCCATCATTTGTTCTTTAAACAAGAAGAAAAAAAACTCAAGGATTCAATGGCCATGTTTTCAAGATGGCTGGTTACAAGTTGTGATTGTGCCCACATTATAACATTCACAATATATGGCCCTTTGACATAATATCCTAATGAAAAATATTTTGAAAAATTTGAATAGCTGTAAGTGTGTTTCCACAGTTTACGTTATCAAAGCCAGACAATTGGCAATGCAGGTGGTTCATATGAACAGTCAGTGATGAACAACCCACCCTCCCACATGCATGAACACACAAGCAAAAAAAACCCCAAATGTTTAAAATGTTTAAAAATCGTTTCTATTCACAGTTGAATTCTCCCAAGCTGCTGGGAAGACTAGCGCTACATGAGTGCAAATGCAAAAGTGCTCTGTCCATAAACAAGTGACTGGCTATGTTACAGGAAGTGTACAACTTTTACAGAAATGACATGAAAAAAACAGAAATGTACAAAGAAGATTTACAAATATGATTATATCTTGTTGACTTACTGAGCTCTTTGAAAACATGTGGGTTAATTTCCCATAATACCCATGGTGACTACTCATTTACTAAGCACATCTTTCAGGTACACTTGACTGGTTTTCTATAGCAAGAAAATATATTTGTTCTTTTTTTTATATAAAAGTTAAAAGTAAAAAAGCAGCATATTTTTAAATCTAACAGAGTGAATATATAGTCAGTGTGGGGACTTTGGTAAACAAAATGTATTGCTTAGGCATTTGTATGTACAGTATATGAAGATATGCAGCCTAGCAGATTAAGGGAGCCATACATTTACTTACTGTGCATGGGCCATTGCCCCACTATCACAGAGACAAACTGCATACATACCATAAGCTACCAACACATTCTTTGTGATCTTTATTACACACAACTACAGAGTTATTGATTCCACTGAGGTTTCATGTATACGCTTGTTTAGAAGTAGGTCTGGCACTTTCCAGGCTAACATTGTGAATAAGAAACTGTTCCTAATGTCTTACCTGGCAAAATAAAGGTAAAAAAAGTATCATTTTTGTTGCACAAATGATTCAAGCTTTATGATTATCCGAGCGGTACACTCCATCACTCTCATTGCCACTTCAGATGTGTATCTGTCATTGGGAATCTGTGGAAACGGCAGGAGATCAGGGTAGCGGGTTCTCAGGCTGTCTACACCATATCCCTCCAGGATCTGAACATCACTGGTGAGGCCTTTTAACTGGGAACCGTACTCCTCCACTTTTTGAGCAAGAGCAGTTGGTTTTACATCTTTGTCTGACTTTCCTCTAACTGCATAGTCAGCTGCTATCAGCGCAAGCTTTGTGGCTAGGTAGCATTTGAAACAGACCCACTCATTAGCATTTTTATGAAGGTCATTGCGAGCGGCAGAGTAGTTTGCTCTGGCTTGCCTCAGCCATCTGCGGGCCTCTACAGGGTTCCCAACAGTCTTAAAGGTTGGGGGTACAAAGAAGCGGTGTGAATGTGATGAGCCTGCATAGCTTGTGTAATGTTCCCTGAACTGTTGCCTTTCTGACTTGTGACTAGTTGCTTCTTGATTCCAAGATGAATAAAACCTCTGAAAAGAGAACTTTTCTGACTGGAAACGGGTTGATGTGGAGAAGGATCTCCTGGAAGCCCTGTCTGTATTTTGATGATCAGCCAAAGCTTGTTTTTCCATCCTATTGATCTCATTCTGCAGGTGCTTGAACACTTCTGTGGCAATGTCCAGATTGTCTGCATTTTTGTCTGGATGCCACTTGAGATACAGTCGGCGGATGATCTTTTTTCTCTCCATCTCTGGAAGCTTCCAAGCTTGTTCAACTACTAATGTCACTTCTTTCAGAATTTCAGGTAATGCATGAAGCTTTATCCTTATTGGAGACTGCCTCTTAGGAGGAGGTAGGTGGTTTTCTTTCCCCGAAAAAAGGGGAGGGATCATTCGTAGGACGGCGGATCGACTCTCTGGGCTTGTAGGAGTTGATGGAACAATATTGTCTTGGACATGGGCACTTTCTTCTTGTCTTGAAAATTTGTACAAGTCAAGGGAACTTACTATTTTGTATTCACTGTAACCAATGTCAATCTGGAAACATTTTCCAAGGAAACTTATGTTATCCTCCTCTTCTCTTTCTACTTCTTGGACAATGATTGCATATGTATAAATGGGCTGATAGGACCCAAATATATCTCCTCCTTCTGAGTCTACAAGGTAACCCACATATTCCCCTGGATAGAATACATTCATTGGATCCATGAGCAGTGTGTGGTGTATTTCAGCTGGTATTGGAGTTCCAGGGAGGGGTAGCTCAAGTTTTGAAGGTTCTGTTGAGTCATACTTGACGCCAAGGTTGTCCAGTTTTTCTGTAATTCTGTAGATGTCATTGCAGCCCAACATGGCTATCAAATAAGATGTGTCAGAAATCAAATTGTCTGTTGCAGATTTTAGTGTCATAGCTAATGCCAGAAGAAAGTTGATATCTTTGCTGTCTGAATGCTGGATGTAGAGATGAATCACAGCAGTCCCATATCGCTTTAGGAAAGCAAGCGTTTCACTGCGACTGTGTGGAATGGGACTGGACCCTTTCACTCTTAAAGTTGTTTGGAGTTTCTCAAAACATGACACTTTGAGGCCCTCACAAAGTGCTTTGCACAAACGTATGGCTTTCTCTTCATTCACTAAATATGCATTATCGTTCTCATGTTTCATAATTCTGATCAAACCTGTGATGAACTGCTCTGATGACAGCAGCAGTTGAAGGCGACCTTGTAGAGAACAAAGAGCTCCAAACTGACACATTTTTGGAGAATCCTCATCAAGTTGCTCCTCAAGAATGCTACTCAACAGTCTGGGTCTTAGTTTTTGTGGCAGTAGCATAATAAGTTTTGTGTGGAAAGAATGGTCTTTGCCAAGATAACATTGGCTCATGTCAACAAGCATCTGAACTCCAACATTACCTTGTATCCTGCTTTTGTAGTGAGGGGCATCATCAAACACTAGGATATTGGATTTTGCTAGCCTCCCATCATGACTTGGCAGGTAAAAGATCAAATCTCTGAGACTTTCGAGATCTTTGCGAATTTCAACTGGATCACTGTGAAGAGACTTGAACAACCCTGAGACAACTCTTTTCACAGTTCTCATTTCATTTGGGTCAAGCTGCTTTCCCTCTGAACTTCTGTAAATTTTCCACAGCACTTCAACATATTGTTTGGTCGACACAACATCCTCTGTGCCAAGAAGTTTGAAAAGTTGATGAAAGGTGCCAAGTTCTAGGGGTAACTTGTACAAGTAAGGCTTGAAGTCAGATTCGTTGTCTAAATTGATGACAACTTCCTCGGGTTTCAGTAATTTCCAGCCATCTTCAACCATGACAAAAGCCACCCCATGGAGTAGGTGATGGAAATCTTGCTTGTCTGCACTGAGAAACTCATATGTGGATCTTAAAACTTTGTTCCTGGTTTTTACCATCTCATCATCTGGGTTGGATATGTTACAGATGTTTCTGCAGTTGCTTATGACTTTCTCTGGCAATGGGTCCAAATTGACTCCTAACATGTTCAGCACTTGGTCAAGTTGTTCCTGTACAGTGAGAGTGCTGTTCTTTTGTTCCTTTATGCACGAAGGTGTAGCTTTCTCAGGTAAGATTGGACAGGATGTCCAAAGCAAGTGAATAATATCAGTTTGTTTGAATTTTGGGTTTACTTGAGACCCACTGAAACGAATAAGCGGTAGTGTGCCACTCATCTCTTGGTATTGAGTATGAAGCTTGATGAGTTCTTTGGAAGCTCTTTCAGGGCACAGAAAAGGTATCATTGAGAGTTCTTTGAGAAAGGTACCTTGAAACAGATCTATCCTCTCTTTGAAAACATGGTTCAAAAGGATATCAACAGCATTTTGTGTTTTTTCTTTGGTCCAACTCTCTGTTAGGGCTTTGATGCTGACCTCTTTTGCAAACTGAAGAATCTGCTGCTGTGAAACCTCATGCTTGAGACCAATATTTCTCAGAAATGTTATCCATGACGTCAGCAACAATGTCCCATTCTTGGGCTTTGTTACTTGCTCTACTTTCTTAAAAAAGTCGTTAGGTATAAATGATTTTGCAGGTAACATAGCTTTAAATACATTTACTGTCTCATCGTAGAAAAACTTGGCTGGTCTGAGTCTGTTTGAGTAGTCATAGATAAATGAAAGCCCCTCTAATTTTTCATAGAGCTGATCCCTTATCTTGCAAGGTTCTTCCATTGACATAAGACTTTCCTTCAAATAGACTATGTGCTCAATTTTGGCGTCATAGGAAAGACTGTCAAATTTTGGCAAGAGGTGATGAAGGTAAATTTCAATGTCACTGACTGGTACACAGCAGAGGAAGGTGTACAGTTCTTTCAGTTGTGGATTGTCAGCAAGAAATGCACAGGAGGATGTTTGAGCCCATTTATCTATGTCTGCAGTTGGGATATTTTTTGCAAGTATGTAGTTTGCTCCATAGTTTGTGATGCTGATGTATCTCCCACAAACTGACTTGTAGCATGGGAGCAGTTTTAGGCTCTGTGCATCTTCTTGTGAGAGGTTAGGCAGGTTACAGTTAAAATATAGCAGAAGAGCCTCAAAGTCCTTGTCAATGAGGTTTGCTGTTTTGAATGCTGATGTCTGAATCATGTACTCCACAGCTTTCAGAATGCTTGATGGATTTTCAATGTTAGCTGTGTGTTGTGCCAGAAAAGACATGATTGGGTTTTCTTTAGCACAGATTTTGTTTACTGCAAGCTGGATGCACCCTGCTTTCATTAGAGTGTGGAAGACTTTGTCATTCTGGCCTTGTGGTAAAATGACAACGTGCATCAAACTTAGAGGTAGAAGCATGTCGTGATCTGGAATGACAAGTTTCTCTCTTGCCATGAATTTCACTCCAGGTAGCAAAGCCCAGTCTTTTAGAATGTCAAGTACAGTGTTAAAGCAGGGTTTAATGTCCCCCTGATCTTGTTTAATGGCTATATTCTCACTGATGAAATTCCACACATTCTTTAGCCAAGATTCAGTTGGAAAGGTATCCTTCCACTTTACTGGGATCTTTGTTCGATACTCTCTTGATAGAACAGACCCTAGCAGATCACCAAAATTGCTGATGTCAAAGTTCTTTGCAACTCCGGTCTTCAACAGGATATTGCTGTACTTTATGTACAATGCATTCATAAACATTTCTTTCCTTGATGATATCAGTTCATGATGTGTTGTTAGGAATTTTGGTCTCTTGGACTCAAACACTTGAAGCGTATTGTCCATTGTTAATGACAGTGGCAAGCCCTCAATTTTGATCTCATCCACTTCCAAGTCTTTGAAAGAGTAGTCAACTAGAAGTTTTAAGTTATGAACTAGCTTGAAGCTAGACTGTTGGAGACGACAGGGGAGTTTACCAACATGACAAGATGTATCTGGTGATGAGAACGTGTGAAGAAAGCTGCGAACATCATTTGGTGTTACAAAACTGACTGGAATCCCTGAATCCTGCAAACATAAGAAAAGATTTGCTGTCTCATCACAGCTGTGAATCAGGTTGAAACCAATGTCAAGAAGCAAAGTTTTCAGCCTGTAGACATTTTCAGCCACAGACTTTCTTGAGGTTATGTTGTACTCTGTGTTTTTTAAGTGCTGAAGCTCATCTTGAAGCAGATTATCAAAAAAGGCTCTGCCTTTGTTTGTAGCGGACGTATTCACCCAAGAAATGTAAATGACAGAGTGCATGTCAGAGTTGTCCATCTGTACTGCTCTTACAACAGGGAGCAAACGCTTTAGATCAGCATGGATACAGTTGTACACAGCTTTAACCAGGCAGTACCAATCTGGCTGGATGTCAAGTCTGTTGACTGGAAAGAAGAACAGATATTTTCGCAACATGTCTTTCACACTATGAAGAGGTGCTCCTTGTAATATAGTCATAGTGGGGTCAGGACCTGGGAAGTATCTTCGCTTCAGTTGAATCAGCAATTCCACACAAGCTGGTGCTATAAGTGATGTCATCAAGTTGTTATTCCAGTCACTCCTTACCCCTACTCCATTGTCGTCTCTCCATAGATTTCTTCTGGCTGAGTCAAGAGCAAAATGCCCATTAACATGAAAAGGCAAGCCAGTCTCCAGTGAGAGAGGCAGGAAGCAGAAGGCTCTGTGGGGTTTTTTGTAGTTGTGGCTTACACATGCAGCTACACCTCCACGTGGAAACAGAGTTATGTCTTCATTTTTGTGAGCTGAAATGACACTTTTTGAGACAATTTCAATGTCAGGGAAGCCAGATCTGTTACAGATCATCCATGAGGTCAAGTTTCCATCAGTGTCCTCTATGTCCATTGTGTAAGTTATCTGTTGGACAGGGATGGCAGGAAGTTGCTTCTTTTTGGTCACACTGTCAATGACAGAGGCATGAAACTGTTTGCGTTTCAGTCGATCACCATCTGTTATTCTGGCTGTCACAGAATAGAGCACTTTAAGTTCACCAGATGCATTATCAATCTCACAGATTGATATTTTCTCCATGTGGTTGAGAAACATGAGTAGCTCTGCACCATCCATTTTTAACTTGTCTAAAAGGTTTTGCACCATTCTGTCAGATGCAGGGACAGAACTGATCTCTGACTTATTTGCCATCTCTTTGGAGCGAATAGGAAATCTGAACATTGTGCTGCGTTCCAGCTTAAAATGTGCTCCCAAGTAAAGATTCAAAACATCTGAAAATTGGGATTTAAAGTCTGAGTCCAAGTCTCTAAACATTCTTCCAGGACTTACAGATGTAGCACCTGGTGCATAATGAGCATGTGGATCAAAGATGCAGAGAATGTCATTGTTTGAGATAAAGGATGGGCAGTCAGTTATGTGATAGACCGAGTTGAAGCCTATGCCATACTGACCAGTTTTGCCAGGATTGGCCTCTTTTGTTCCTCTTCCTAGATTCTGAATACCTCGAATGTCATCCTCTGTAAACGGCTGATTATTGTATACACAGAGGGCAGGGCCTTGCATTGGGATCCATTTTTCATCAAATATTCTGTCAGAAGGGTGTGTCCTTGAATCAAACACAAAGTAGATTTCTGTGGCTTTGGCATCATCTGCATTTTGAAGCAGCTCTTTAAGCATTTCTTTTTCCGATGGATAGGCATTCAGTATGCTTTTAATTCTGCTTGTAAGTTTCTCTTTCTGTCCAAACTCACTGCCAAGAGGATTGAAGCAAACATTTGAGGCGTACCTCTCTAATGCTTTGTGTCGTTTTGGTACTGCTCCTAATTTTACTGCAACCTCTCTTGGAATGTCCCCATGACAGTATTTCACAGAAGAGTCTCTGACTTTGATCCAAGGACAGTCATTGTAACATAGTGATTTTGATGGTTGGAGTGTTAGATTGCAGTCTGGTAACAGAATACCACCAAGCTGAAACACTTGGCAGAACTCTTGGTTCTTATCTCTTATTAAACTCCATATTCCTTCACTAATTATTCTGCGACACAATTGGAAGTTTTCCTCTGTGAGTGCCTTTCGTCCGCACTCTTGCCTCACAGTTTCAAGCACTGCAGAGAAATCCTCAACTGTAAAGCTGGGTTGCACACCAACGTTTTCAAAGAGCTCACGAAAGCTGTTTCTGTATTTGTTTGGGAGCTGGTAAAGATGGGGGGCTGCATCAAAATTTAGGTGAAATGCAACTTTGGAAGGACTGACGTAGGTATTTTCCACCAAGATGGAGTTAAATGCTTTCAGTTCGTTGGTGATTTGACTTTTTATATTGCCTTCTCGTAGCATTTCCTCATGAAGAAACTTGTAACAAGCATTTGTTATGTTTTCTTGATACAGAGTGACACCATCAAATGACTGAGAAAGTTTCTTTAGTTGATTGATAACCAGTTCAACTGGGGGCTTCCTTATCAAGCCAATACTGTCTTTCACAGCTAATGACATTGGGCCACAACCTTTAAAGGATGGAGAATTCTCATTCAAGATTGGCTTCATCAAACACACTGTGTCCTGATGTTCAGTTGTGAAGAGCTCTTTAGGAGAGAACAAAGTTGTTGGAGAAAAGCTGTTTCCGTGCCATGGTAATGAGAATCCTGCAGGCCTCGTCAGAAATGGAAGAAACTTGATGTCCTGTAGCATCTCCAAGTAATCATCCGCTCCTGGGTCCCTCATTTTTAGTTTCTCGTCAATGAGACTGAGTAGTATACTACTACGAAAGCACGCAGCAGTATGCTCGTTTTTATTAAGTTCGATAACAGAATGAGCACGCTCAGTGAGGTCCTCCCAAGACAGATCATCTTTTACCATGCCAAGCTGCACTAGCTTCACTAAACACACAGGGTTTACATAGTCTTTGGAGGTCCCTTCAGCAAATCTTCCATCATCAGTACTGTAGAGTTTAGCAACCCTTCCCTCTGGATGAATGAGTTTGGAAGGTAAAACCAGTTCCTTGTTGGGACCAGAGCAAGGGATACATGGAGTAACTCTGAGAATTGATTCAAAGTCTTCCAGTTTATCATTCAAGACATAGTGCATCAGAGGATCTCTAAGCTCTTTATCAATTTCCTGAATGTGAGGAAAGAAGACTTCAGAAAAGAACTGCTTCTCTGTTAGGGTGTTTTCCATTAATTTTGATTTACATCCAGCATCTTCAAATCCCTCCTTCACCCAGTAAGGCAGTTCAACAGCACAGAGGTTTTGAGAGCCACTCTTCTTGAGGTATTGTAGAAATATCTTGAAAGCAGCAGGACCAATGTCTGGTCTGCAGAGTAAAGCATCATCAAGGAATCTGACATTTTTGATTGACACCCAGGATTTGCCATCTGGAAAAACCTTTGCCTGATCACTGTCACCTCCTTTGGCTATTTCTTGGTAGATCCCCTGGCTGATCAGTATGAAGTCATCGTGAACCTGACTTGGATCTGGCCATGCTGCATAGTAGCTGTAGTGAATCAATTCTCCATTTTCTGCCATTGAACGCAGCATTGCGAGGGCTGCTAAATAGGCTTGAACAATGACATGTCTCATGAAGACAGAGTTCCACTGTCCTTTGGTGTCAGTCTTCCAGATCTCTTTGCGGTTGGATGTAACTGCAAAGCAGCCATTAATGTGAACTGGTAGGCCTGTTTTGATTCTGAGAGGCAAATAGCAAAACACCTCTCCAATTGGTGTGGCATTTGTCTTCACAGTCCACTTGTGATTCTCTTCCTCTGATAGAAGAATAGCCACTCCTCCACAAGGTACTAGTCCAAGTCTTTTTCCACTGTCACTGAGGGAAAACTTAAGTGCCTCTTTTACATCCATGCATGAGCAAATGAGCCAGTTTGTGACATCAACTGCCTTCTGAGGCATTTCATCTGTCAATCTTCTTGCCTGAACACCTTTGGCTGCCATCTCAAAATACTGGTTGGGATCATCCTCTGAACCACGGAACAATGGAGAGTGGAGATCAACAATGCGTTTGAAAACATTATGAAACTCCTCCACCACAACACGTATGATACAACCAGATTTGGGAATATCAGTGGGTACCTTATTGATGTTTGCCACTTTCTTCATGAGCTTTGCTGCAGATTTAAGGATGCTCAGAGGTCCATATGAGGCTTTGCTTGACCACACACTTTTGTTGATTGCAACAACAATTTGTGCTCCAGCTGGGTTTGGTTCCTCATATTTCAGGTACTTTAATACCATACTTCCAACATGCTGAGTGAAAAGAATAAACCGATGACCACATATGCTGAATTCATCAACCAGAGAATAGATATCTGTGGTATTATAGTACAGACTACTGATTTCACTAACTGATGCCTCTTGCTCTGTTCTGAATGGTAGTCTGAACAAAGTACCATTGTATTTGTATGGTGAATCCTGAGCTAAAGGCAGCTGGCAGTTGAAAACATTAATGAAAGGTTTGAACTGATTGGGAAATTTTCTCAGCCTCTTTTGTTGTTTGCTCCAGTTAATTTTGATCCCTGGATTAGACCTGTCCCTGATGTGTTTGCTGATGTGATTGATGTTCGGATCAAACATGATCATAAACTCCCTGCTCATAATGATGGGGATATCAGTAATGTGATAAACAGAGTTGAAACCCAAGCCAAACTTTCCAACTTTGTCTGCTTCACATCTCTTCACTGATCCACCAAGCCTTGTGATGTTCAGAAAGTCGGTGTCTGTGAACACAGCATTATTAAAAGACCACAATGAAGGCCCGTGGCAAACAATCATGCCAGGATCAAGGAGATTTTCTCGGATGTCAATGTTTTTTCTCATGTCAATGAGAAAACTGCACTCTGTTGCACTGGCATCATCAGCATTCTGGAGAAGCTCTTTGAAAATATCTGCAACAGATGGATATTCTTCCAATATATTTTTTATTCTCACAGTTAGAGGTTCCTGTTGGCCTGACTGTTCAAAACCAAGGTTTTCTGGGTTAATCAACCTTGTGCTCAAACAGGGGACCTTCAGCCACTCAGCAGTTTTCATTGGGATGTCGTCATGGACCAGTATAATTGGTTCTGACGTATCTTCAAGTAAGTCATTTAAATCATCAACCTTGATGTCACAGTAGGTGCATTCATAAATGGGTTTCATTGCTAATTTGCTTGGGTCCTTGTAACAAAAAATTGGGACATGCATGTTAATGTCCGTGTGAATCTGATTGTTGTACAACCATCTTAGGATGTTGATCAAAAGTAAAATATTGTGTTTGCTTTCCTCTTTGGTCATTTCTCCTTTGCATGTTCTTTGAACAGTAGTGATCACTTCAAACAAATGGCTTGGGACAACCTCTTCAATTGAACCACAAAACTTGAAGAGTTTGTGAAACTTTCTCATTGTTTTGGGTAGAGAGTACAGATAAGGCTGCAGGTCTAGATTGGGGAGGGGTTTTAGAACTGTCTGGCCGGGTGATGAGAAAGTCTTTCCTGTCCACACCCAATCAAAAGGAAGTGATTTCATTGCTTCCCTTGCATCCTCAAGATGAGCCTGCATAAAGCCATAAATCTCAAACAAGATCTGCTGAAACTGATACCAGTCCTCTGTGGTAAATGCTTGAGATTTGTGCCAATCATTCACAGCTTTCAAATGCTGTAATACTTGATCCACCTGCGGCTCTATAGTGAGTTTCAGTGCCTTCTTCAATCCTGCTGATATGTGTTCAACCAGTGCAACTGAGGATCCTAGAAGGACTGCATGGGACAATTCACACATCTCAGACAGGGAACAAATACTAAGAGTATCTCCAACCCAAGCAAGAGATTTAGGGTAAGTTAGAGGTCTTTCTTTACAGACGGGTACCCATTTCAGTTGTAGCAATGATGTCTGAACATCTGTTGATTTTATCAGCTTGGTTTGTTTGTTAAGTATTTGCAGGAGTGTTTGTGACTTTTTGATTATTAAGTCCCACTCAGGCTCCTCAGTGTTTTGCAACTCTTCTATATTTTTGGCCACTTTAAACACATCGTTTTCAGTGACCTGTACCTCATTTCTTAGCCCCAGCTGTCTGAGTGAATGGAGGATATCAGGAGATGTGGTGAATGTATTTGTGGGAAACCTGGTTTTCTCTTCCATGTAAAACAGATGCTGTAAAATCTCTAGTTCTGGATCAAAAAGATCTGAGGCTTTAACAGACTTCCCAGAAGGCAACTCAATGAATTTGAGGGCAGAAAGCCATCCTATCACAGATGGGTTTTCATTCTTCAACAATGCCAGGTGTTTAAGAGCCCAAAGCATAATTTGGGTGGTTTCATCCTTTGAATAGAAACCTTTCTCAATGTCCTGAATAATCATCTTCAAACATTCTGTAGTTTTCACTTGTTCAACATTAAGCATCTTAATGAGACGAATTGATTCCTCATCTTGGCAAGTTACAAGATTTTCAGATAGTTTTACATGTGGTGGATACTTGGCCCTGTGATGTAAAGCTCTTGCACCTCTCAGTGATGTAAATGCTGAGCTACTTTCAAAACAGGTTCCTACTTTCTCAAAGATGGGGAGATCAAGCAGGGAGGGCTTTTCCTTTTCTGTGATGTCAGACAAACCTGCAAGAAAGTTTCTGAGCACTATTTTCTCTTTTGTTGAGAAAGAAGAAACAGTGTTGGATAATCGCTGTGAGGACAATCTGCTCATAATTTGCAGAAGCATACTTGGAGAGCATGGGTGGATGTAATTCTTAAGTAGAGGGTGCTGCAAACACAAATCCAGCTTTTTTATCACAACTCCTCCAAGCTTTTCCAAAATGCTGAGAAGGCTTTCAGAAACTGGTGTCCCTTCATCATCCACATGAATTATGGGCGAAGGAGTTTTGAGACGGAGAAGTTTAACCGTGCTCGTGGTTTCCTTAAGTGGTACGAGTGGGATTAAAGGCATGTCTTCAAAGGTGTTTAAGTCGTCAGCAAAATGTATATAGAGATGCTTCCAAATCATCTTTAACCAGGAAACTGTAGGATGCTTCAACTCCCTGTTTCCAGGTTCCCACTCAACACTGAAGTCTCTTGATGGCCAAGCTGCGGACAGGATCTCTTTGACGAGCCGAGATGATCGTTCAGGGTTCAACACTTGCAGCTGAGTGCAGGGGCGTCCTGTAAAAATGATAAAAAAACCACCATAATCAGTCTCACCTATTATTCAAAATAATGCTAAATATTGATTGACAAGTTGGCTTGTTAGTCTTGTTTCAGGAAGCAACCATTTCAGGCAACAGTGTATTGTGGTGTAAATGATGTACGCAGGCAAGGCTTTACACATCATGAATGAAATGTTTCTATTTCATTTCTTAGAGTCTGACTCAATTTTCCTTTAATAAATTAAGTAGACTACTTTATTTAAATTAGGATAAAATATAACGTCATGTGGTTAGTTTTGAAACAAATTACAAAGCAACACTTCAAAAATGCATTCATTAAAAATATATATTTGGATAAAAATCATACACAACATCTAGCAGTAATGTTTCTTGCAATATTCAGGGCATGCAAATTAACTTGTACAAACTTGCAACCCCAATTTTTTTTTTATCTTAAATCAAAATCCTATTAATTTCAATAACATTCCCAATATTTTAGTGCACAGGAAGCAGTTGCTGTGAAGAAACATACAAGTACTAATTTCCAAACTGAGGAAAAAAATACAATAATAATCACGCAGGTCTGAATTTGAATTTTTTGCTTAAAGAAAGAAAAACAGAACCTAAACATGTGAGCTGTTTATTTTCTGTTAGTTCTTGGATTATAGCCACACAATAGTTTTGGTTAATAATAAAGACATATTTGACAGACTTTAATACCTACCTGAACATCCCCAAAGAAAATGTTGCACTGTAATTCAAATGACAAATTTGAGTTATGGGAGATTAACTTTACTCTCTCACGGAGTTAAAAAAAAAAAAAACTCTTAAAAAAACTACCAGTGTATAATTCTATTACAAATAGTTTCTAGGAGTGAAGAAGGGAGGCAGGAAGGAAAAGGTGAGGTAACATGATGTCTGTGGATCTGAATATCTCCAACACGGCACTCTGTCATCATCAACCAGAGCAGACAGCAGAGTAAAGGTACTTAAAACTAACAATAAAGACAATAACTATGAACAAAATATCTAAACAATTCTCCAAAAGCAATGTCTTTTTTTTGTTAGCAAATTAATAAAAGTTAGTACTGTATTGTATAGTTTTAGCTTTGTTAGATTATGTTTTTCTTTTTGGGTTAACTTGACATCTTCTACTCATCTTTTGTTGTTTGTTTTAGTGCCTCTCTAACGGCTGAATACAGAAGCTGATCTTGTGAAATAGTTAGGTTTGATGACCAAAACAGAACCCATCCATGAATCTTCATCCTCACTACTTCCCTGCTCTGTAGTTCCATAAACTGTCTATCAGCAGCGAAGCAGATTTAATGCTGTAGAGTAAGATGAACCTGTGTTACAGCATGGCTGAACCCCCACAACCTCATCACAGGAGTGCATGGACATTTCAGTCTTTATATGAGATAGAGATTAACTAAATCAGTATTTCACAAGTAATACTGTGTCATTATTAGTATTATAGTTTGGACAGTGCTTTAAGTTGTTATAAAATTCTAACTGTTATAAAACTGTGATGGACTTGTAACTGTCAAGGGTGTATCATGGCTTTTGTACAGTGACTGCTGGACGCAGGCACCAGTGACCCCCGTGATCCACAAAGGAAAAACACGGGTAAAGATGGTGATTGGATGCATATATTACAAATTAAATTTATATTGTCACAATTATAATTTTATTGATCAAAATACACTGCCTGGCCAAAAAAAAAAGTTGCCACCTGGATTTAACTAAGCAAATAGATATAAGCCTCCTATTGGATAATTACTGCATGGATGATTATCTTTCAACTGGCAACAAGTTATTTAACCCAACTGGTGCAATGAGTTGCTTCTCATTTCTTAAACAACCATGTCGAAAGACACATCGTGTGGTCGTGGAAAACATGTCAGTCTGTTTGGGAAGGGTCAAAACATTGGCATCAAGCAGAGAAAACATCTAAGTTGACTGAAGAAACTACTAAAATTGATTCAAAATATCCTGATACATGCTCAATAATCCAGGTAGAAAAATCTAAAAAAGTTAAATCCTCTGGTCTAGAGGACCAGATTTTACTTTTTTAGATACTAAAATTGAGTTAAGAACTGTCCAACACATTATTAAAAACTGGAAGGATAGTGGGGACCCATCGTCTTTGAGGAAGAAATGTGGCTGGAAAAAAATTCTGAATGATCATGATTGGCGATCATTTAAACGTTAGGTGAAATCAAATAGAAGAAAAACAACAGTAGCACTCAGGGCTATGTTTAATAGTGAATGTAAGAGCATTTCCACAAGCACAATGTGAAGGGAACTCAGGGAATTGGGACTGAACAGCTGTGTAGCCTTAAGAAAACCACTAATCAGTGAGGCTAACTGGAAAAAAAGGCTTTAATTTGCTAGGGAGCATAAAGATTGGACTCTGGAACAATGGAAGAAGGTCACGTGGTCTGATGAGTCCAGTTCTATTTCGTATAGGCTTTTCCCTTTAAGGCTATCGCTAGTGGGTTTATCCCATCGCGCGCAGCGCAGCGCAGCGCAGCGCAGCGCAGCGCAGCACAGCACAGCACAGCACAGCACTGAAAACTTTAGTCCACGCCCACCTGCTATGTGGGCCTCACCCCCGGTCTGTATAAATTATGGTGAGACTGGGTAATCGGCTCCCATTTTTTCTTCAGCAAGCAACCAGCACTGATTTTACAAGAACACGATGTCCAGCACCACGATGTCCAGCACCATCCGCCTGTGCCCGTCCTGCAAGACCAGCTACATGCACGACATCTGTGAAGGATGCCTGGGTCCCCACCACGCTGACCTCGTCTCCTCCTGCTGTCTCTGTGACCTCCTCCCTCCTGAGGAGAGGCAGAGGCGAGCAGCCTTGTTCAAGGCTAACATCGAGGAGTGCCTCTCCGTGATGGGGGACTGTTTGCTGGACGACGCCATTGCCTTTTTTGACGCCGAGTCACGGAGCGAATCGGATGATTCCTCCGGAAAAGGCGAAGTCAGCAGCAGCCCCACTGCTCATTCCCTCCTGGAGAGCGTAGTGTTGGAACGGGGGGGGGGGGGCAGTGCGGATGCCCCACCCCACCCCCCCACCCTTTCCGCATTGGTTAACACACCGCTCCCAGCCGTCGGTGCCCTCCTCTCGGAGCTGCCCGGCATAATCCAGGAGGCGGCTGACACGAAGGGACTTTCAATCCCTCTCCTCCCCTCGCCCAGATCGGATGATCTAGTGGGAAGGTTTGGCTCCACCCTGGCTCGCCGCCCTGACCCCATCTGGCCTCGTTTCCCAACAGTGACGTCCTACTGGAACGAGGCTGCAGCCAGACCTGGTAAGCTGAGGGCGCCCGTCTCCACCTTCGCTCCCATCACCAGAGTGGAGAGGTTTACTGAGCGAAATTTTCCCTTGAGGCCCACACAGCAGGTGAGCGTGGACTAAAGTTTTCAGTGCTGCGCGCAATGGGATAAACCCACTAGCGATAGCCTTAAAGGGCTGCGCCTATATTCATAGAATCTGGGGTTACAGTACGTAACCAACAATTTACCCTGTTTCAGAGTGATGGGCGCATCAGGGTAAGAAGAGAGGCAGGTGAAGTGATGCACCCATCATGCCTAGTGCCTAGTCATCATTTCAAGATCTTGGTGAAAAATTAATGCAACCCTGGATGGAAATAGATCTTGTGACATTGCAGAAGCTTATCAAAACAATGCCACAGAGAATGCATGATGTAATCAAAGCTAAAAGGTGGTCCAACGAAATATTAGTGTGACATTTTTTTGGTGTCGACTTTTTTTTTTGGCCAGGCAGTGTATGTGCATGCTAAATTGTATAGTTGTTGCAGGATAAAGGAAGGCTGCATACACATCTACAATACTAACAGTTTGTTACAAAAATAATTTGTAAATTAAATACTGGTATACTGGATTACCTCTGCTTCTGGCAGCTTTCTTCAAACTGTCCAAAACGGAGGACTTCAAAGTCTCCAGAATGAAGCGATGCTCAAGTCCTGAATAGAGAGACCTTAAAATAAAGTGACAGATCTTCATTATATGCAAGACAACAAGCCTTGTGTTAAGATACCTAAGATACATTAAAAGGAAGTGTGGATGATTTAAGTTACTAGACAACACTTGTACAAAGTCTCTACCTTGGGTACTCTTCAGATGCAATGTAAATGGCGTCCTTTTCACTGACAGATGATGAAAATGTTGTAAATGTCTCGTCTTGTAGCGGAAGGAGCTCTAGTCCAATCAGGTCACTGTAATTGGCATCAGTGAGGATGAACTCCAGAAGCAGCAGCTTCTCCTGTGAGGGACCTTTGTGTTTGCACTTCCTGATGATCTGTCTCAGCAGAGTTGGAGTTACTTTTTTCACTTCAGTGGACTTTGTCATGTAGGCATCCAGGACAGAGTCCACTGCAGGTGGCACCTTTGCTACCTGCGTTCCTGAACTTTGGAGGTAGTTGATCACAGTCTCTGAAACATTAGTGTCTGTGTCCAGCTCTGAGAATATAGCTTGATCCACCCCGATCCACTTCTCACTGAGGGAATAGATGACCTGCTGCTGCAACAATTCATGAAAGAGTGGCTGGAGAATGGGTGTCCAACGGGTCTTCACCTGCTTCAAGTCTGGCCATGCCCTATATGTTCCTGTAGGGGACAAAGGGAAGTCTTGGTCCTTTTTTGTTTGTACCCTTTTTATAGTCTCCATTATGAGAATAAAATAAGCTCTAGGGATGACAGTGACTACAAGCAGTTCGTTCCACAGGGCAGCTGGATCCCTCCACTGGTCCACTTCCCGCCACTTGATGCTCCTACGGTTGTCTGTGAGCCCGAAGAAGCCACTGACATGAACTGGAAGCCCCGTCTGACTTTCCTCACCAGGTGGAAGAGGAAGGAAACAAAAAGCTTGTCCTGAGAAACCAGATGTGGCACCTTTATCGTCTTTGTTGATCATGGTCAGAGGCAAAGCAATCCCAATGATAGGCATGAACTTCAAATCGTCTGCTAGAGAGTCCAATTCAGCACACATTCCTCTCCCTCCAACTCCATTACAAACCAGCCATGCCTCTCTATGAGTCTCTTTAGCCATTTCATCCTGAGTCTCTATGCTGACCTGGTAAGTGACACATGTGATGGTGGTACTGGGAACTCCATTGCTGTAACTGTCTACAGCCTGACCCAGTATCTTCAGTGCATTCAATCTTTCAAGTTTATCATCACTTCTCTCTGTTGCTGTAACCTGAAACAACATGCGTTCAGTGCCATCAGACTCTCGCACATGTAGTGAGATCTTCTGGACACTCTTGAGGAAGAGGAGCACCGTGTCTGCATCAGCTTTGAAAGACTCAAACAGCTCTAAAACTTTTTCTTTGTTGTAAATGTTGCTGCTGAGCTGGGAAGGTCTGGTGCGAAGTGGGAAGCGGAACAGAGTTCCTGGAAAGCTGCCGTCCCTCATGTTTTTTTCTGAACTCCCAAACACTCCAAGAAAAGGTGCAAACTGGTCAGCTAGTTCTGTGATCTCCTTAATGTCTGTTTTCAAATTCCAGCACTGGCCAGACTCATTTACTCCAAACAGGGTCTGATGAGGGTCAAGCATTGCAATCTGGTCTCCACTAAATATACTGGGAACATCTGAAACACAAAACAATACATGGAAATTTGAACAATGTGTTTTTACTTTTTAATAGAGATTCTTCAAGACAAACAATGAAAAATGTAACCACTGACACTGCAATGCAACACCTCAAGTTGCCTTGACATAATGATATTAAATTAGACGTATCAGTAAAACACATGGCACCATTTTGCAGGTTTTTACATCAGTAGAATTTTTACAACCATTACTTACAACTATTATTAATTATCAGCCTGTTTTTACCATGTGTGGGTTTTCTCCAGGTCCTTCAGTTTCCTCCCACAGACCAAAAACATGCATATTAGGCTGATTGGTAACTCTAAATTGTCCCTAAGTGTGAGTGAAAGAGTGAATGGAGGTTTGTCTCTGTGTCCCTATGATGGACTGGAGACGTGTCCAGGGTGTCCCCCGCCTCTCGCACAGTGACTGCTGGATATGGGCACCAGCTTCCCCCGCGACACAAAATGGAAGAAGCGGGTAAAAGTTAGTGGATGGATGGATGGAATTTTTACAGAAGATAATTGCCGCCCAATGCCAAAGGTGATTCGTATCTTGAACCACAGGACAGATTTTATCGAAGCTCTCAGAAAATAAGCTAAGCAACATTAGCCAACACAAAAATAGTTAAAAGTCAAATTTACAGATAATGAGAAGATCTGGTGCGGTACTGGTTGAGAGTCATTGAAGAAAGCATACTCTGAGCAAATTCAAAAAAGTTCAAGCCAAAAACAACTGGACTTTATCTTGTAACAGAAGACGTTTTGCTTCTCATCTGAGGAACTTTCTCAATTCAAAGAACAGAGAGTGTGGGGTTCGAGTTATAAAGCTGAGGTAAGCTAGCTACATCTGACTGACAGATGGACAACTCTGGTCACTGGATGAAGTTCCCGATAGGTGTGATAGGTGTTTCATCCATGTGACCAGAGTGGTCCATCTGTGAGTCAGACTAACAAAGACCTAACAAAGCCCCATATATAAGCCCTATACCAAAAACATGCAAGTTAGGCTACCTTCAGGCCCAGGCCTCCCTTGCAAAAGAGATCTGTGATCTCAACGGGATTTGCCTGGTTAAATAAAGGTTAATAAATATTGTGAGGCGTAATAGGGAAATATGCATGAGTTTGATATGCTGAGCTAAGCATGAGCTTAGCTCAGCTTTATAACTTGAACCCAACACTCTCTGTTCTTTGAATTGAGAAAGCTCCTCGGATGAGACGCGAAACATCTTCTGTTACAAATAAAGTCCGGTTGTTTTTGTCTTTAACTTTTTTTAATTTACCATGTCCTGGATGACTGAACAAACAGATCATACAACATCTTTGTTTGAAATTTTAGCATGTAAGGTAGCAAGCATTAACAAATCTTACAAGATTTCAAGATCTCGCGATCTCGCAAGAGATTGTGCATAACATCATTGCCAAGGTGTGACCAAGACAGCTATAATTCTGCCCTTCTTATCATAACGTTGATTTAGTATAAAATGAAAGACTAGAAATATGCTTTTTTTTTTTTTTCAAATACTTCAACTATGACCTCATTTTAAAGTAAAGGCAGAATTTTTTGTGTTAAAAATGTCTCTTGCTGATTACCATATTTTTCGGCCTATAAGTCACGTTTTTTGCATAATTTACACGCCCTGTGACTTATACACCGAAGCAACATATTTATGGATTTTTTCCCCATATTTATAAATCAATTTTTGGCTGAGATATGACCATTTTCATTCATTCTGACTGAAAATATTGAACACTACCATTTTCAGCTGCTAGATGGCACTCGTGTATAGCATGCCGTTGTGTCATGCAATAGGTAAAAGTGGCTACTAATGACATAATCAGCTTGACATAAACTTCCACCTTCGTCCAGCTTGCCTGGAGCAACCATCAAATAAGCTTCATTTCGTTGCGCCGCCCCTGCAAAATGCAGTTGATTTGACCATTGAACTGCATTGATCAACTGAGACACACCTTTGCTATAATGTCGAGCAAACAAATTATTGTTTTAGGTGCTAATCTTGTTAAATTTTGAAGAAATGCGCAGCGTTCCTCCTTCCTGATTTCCTCCCTCAGAGCGCGCTCCCGAGCACCGAAGCAGCGGATACTTTTGAAAATGCAGCTGATTTGACCGTCAAAGTGCATTTATTAAGGAAAAGTTAAACGGAGACACACCTTTACTATAATTTCAAGCAAACAAATAATTGTTTTTAAGCGTTAATCTTGTTAAATTCTTGATAAAGTCCTTCCGAGCACGCTCCTGCGGCCGCCATTTAGCAGCCAATCGATTTTTGGCACAACGCTGGCCCACATTTCCAGGTTGTCAGCGGTGACGCATAACAAACGCAACACGTCAGCGGTGATGCATAATAGATGTGACGTATACGGCGAAGCGACTTATTTATGGATTTTTCCACTTTACTAGACATATTTGGACTGATGCGACTTATAGGGCGGAGCGACGTGTATAGTGGAAAATACGGTAATAGGAATCAATAATTTAAACAATGTGAGTTTATACATATATATATATATATATATATATATATATACAGTATATATAGTTCATTAGTGTACACAGAAAACAGCTAATATGATTTCTAAAGACACTTTCTGTATGACAATGGTATATTTAAATTATGTTATTATTTATTTGTTAACCTTGATTTAACCAGGCAAATCCCACTGAGCTCATAGAGCTCTTTTGCAAGGGAGGCCTGAACGTGAAAACAGCCTTACATACATGTTTTTAAACTGTGGGAGGAAACCAGAGCGCCTGGAGAAAACCTCCGTGAGCATGATGAGAACATTGTATGCAAATTCCACACAGAGAGACCCCAGGTCCAAACCGGGGACTGAACCCAGGAACTTCTTGCTGTGAGGAAACAGTGCTAACCACTTAGCCACATTTATCCGACAGTTCTCACCTGTAATGTGATATACAGAGTTGAAGCCAATACCAAATCGTCCAACTTTCAGAGGATCATCTCGTTTCCTGCTCCTTGCAATCTCCTGAATCCCATTCCAGTCTTCCTCAGTGAACACAGCGTCATTGTACACGTACAGCGCTGTTCCTGCATGTAAGCATTAACAAGCTCAAAAGACTGAAGCGCTGATTCAAATTTAGTTCAGAATGCCTGTGGTAAACAACGAGTGTATCTTAAAACAATCTGTAATTTAAAAATCCATGAACTGACACTAGTGACTAAACTAAACATGTCGTATTGCTAGTTCACAGCGACATGGCTGGAGAAACCACAACTCAAACTGCGTTGGTGTAACTAGGTGGGGAAAAGCTATTTGTCCAGAAACAGATTTAAATACCACATTTAAAGATTTCCTTATCGCATTCATACACTAACGTGGTGCACTAACATGTTTCCTGGCGTGTGCTCTGCGTGTTCTGGTAGATGTAAATTTCTGTTAGTTATTCATGGTAGTTTGGCATATCTTTTTATTGTATTGAAACAAGTTTGTTTGATTTAAAATGACATTTCTTTAATGGTAGATAAGCAACTTGTGTAGTGTTAAGTGACAAAGTGATGACTATTTTATTTATTTATTTTCTAATAGCTGTCACTGCCACATGTTATTTCATTTATTGTACATACTTTTACCATATTTTATGTTATTTATTGAAAAAATGAACAGGAAACTGACAGCCCACAATAAAAACTAAATTTAAATTTAGAGAGTGTGGTCATATAGCCCCAGCTTCACTTGTTCTAATGATTCAGTTGTTAAAAAGACAAGAGCCTAAACATATACACTATAAAGAGCAGTGCCACTACTCACTTGGCTAACCTGTTTCCTTAAACGATCAATAATTGCTAACCTTGATGCTGAGCCATGTCAGGTGACCACAGTGATTCCAACTCGTACTCCGTCTCATCATACAGAAACTTGATCTCTGTCGCTCCAGCATCCTCTGCATTTTGGATCATCTCCTTCAAATTAGAACAATGGGCAGTAATTAAAGTAAGATCCTTGCAGTGAAACTGGAGAAGCAGCACATCATCTTATTGACCATAGGCATTTAGGTAAAAGCCTTGAAGTACAAAGAAGGAATAATTAGGAAGAATGGTTCAGCTTTTGGACTTCAAGCCTGGTAGTGCACCATAATTCACAATATAGCTGACAGCACCAAGTCAGGAAAAAGCAATGCGATGTCTTGTTGTTCGTGCTTGACAAATGTTCTCATTCTGAATCTAAACACACAAAAGTGAAACTCTTATTTTGCATAGAGTGAAATATTTCCAGCCTTTATTTCTTGTAATTTTCATGATTATGGTGTACAAATAATGGAGAAAACTAAACTCAGTGTCTCTGTAAATTAGAATATTCCACAGCCAGCTTCTGGTACCTTTGTCAGTGTGGGCAGGAGCCAAGTCCTGCTGGAAAATGAAATCAGCAACTCCATAAAGCTCGTCAGCAGAAGGAAGCATGAAGAGCTCTAAAGTGTCCTGGTAGATGATGTGTTGACTGGACTTCAGAAAACACAGTGGACCAACACCAGCAGAGGACATGGACCTAAAACATCACTGACTGTGGAAACTTTACTCTGGACTTCAAGCAACGTGGATTCTGGGCCTATACAGGTGCTGGTCATAAAATTAGTATATCATGAAAAAGTTTATTTATTTCAGTAATTTCATTCCAAAAGTGAAACTTGTATATTATATTCATTCATTACACAGAGACTGATATATTTCAAATGTTTATTTATTTTAATGTTGATGATTATCACTGACAACTAATGAAAATCCCAAATTCAGTATCTCAGAAAAATAGAATATTGTGAAAAGGTTCAATATTGAAGACACTTGGTGCCACACTATAATCAGCTGATTAACTCAAAACACCTGCAAAGACCTTTAAATGGTCTCAGTCTAGTTCTGTAGGCTACACAATCATGGGGAAGTCTGCTGACTGGACATGTGTCCAAAAGACGACCAGTGACGCCTTTCACAAGGAGGGCAAGACACAACAGGTCATTGCTAAAGAGGCTGGCTGCCTCCAAGTTGAAAATTATTATGATTGAACTAATTGTTTGAAAAAAGGGGCAGATATAATAAGATATTTTCTTCTTTCTGCTGCCTTTCATTTTAAATCTCTTGTATTTTTTTATATTGTTATGGAATTGTTTTGTATTTTTAAAATGAATAAACTTTATACCATATCATACCAAGTTGACGTCTTTTTTGAAAACATTTAATGTGTAACGTATGCCCTGGACTTTTATGTTGTAAATATAATATGCCCCTTTAGGTGTTTTTTTGTTGTTGTTTGTTTTGTTTTATTATTAATTTTGGGGTTTTGTTTGTACGGTTTTATTTATTTTATTTTGTATTCTTCTTATTTGGTTAGATTTGTTCGCTAGTTGTAACTTTGTAAACACGTAGTGCGAACACAATGTTTATATTATGGTACCCTTTTTAATGTTGTTTGTATACGTTTAATAAAAAATAAAAAAATAAAAGAGGCTGGCTGTTCACAGAGCTCTGTGTCCAAGCACATTAATAAAGAGGTGAAGGGAAGGAAACGATGTGGCAGAAAAAAAAGTGTATAAGCAATAAGCATAACCGCACCCTGGAGAGGATGTTGAAACAAAACCCATTCCAAAATGTGGAGGAGATTCACAGAGTGGACTGCTGCTGAAGTCAATGCTTCAAGAACCACCTGGCTCAGAAGTATGCAAGACAAGGGGTTCAGATGTCACATTTCCTTGTGTCAAGCCACTCTTGAACAAGAGACAACATCAGAAGTGTCTCGCCTGGGACTGCTGCCGAAAGGTCCAAAGTTATGTTCTCTGAAGAAGTAAATGTTACATTTCCTTTGGACATCAAGGTCCCAGAGTCTGGAGGAAGAGAGGAGAGGCACAGAATCCACATTGCTTGAGGTCCAGTGTCAAGTTTCCACAGTCAGTGATGGTTTGGGGTGCCATATCATCTGCTGGTGTTGGTTCACTGTGTTTTCTGAGGTCCAATGTTAACGCAGCATCTACCAGGAAGTTCTAGAACACTTTATACTTCCTGCTGCTGACCAACTTTATGGAGATGTAACAACAGGACTTGGCACCTGTGCACGGTGCCAAAGCTACCAGTACCTGGTTTAAGGATCATGGTATCCCTGTTCTTCAGTGGACAACAAACTCACCTGACCTTAACTCCATAGAAAATCTATGAGATAATGTGAAGAGGAAGATGTGATACACCAGACCCAACAATTCAGAAGAGCTGAAGGCCACTATCAGAGCAACCTGGGCTCTCATGACACCTGAGCAGTGTCACAGATTGATCGACTCCATGCCACGACGCACTGCTGCAGTAATCCAGGCAAAAAGAGCCACAACTAAGTATTGATGCTGCACATGCTCATACTTTTCATGTTCATACTTTTCAGGTGGCCAACATTTCTAAAAATATATTTTTTATTGGTCTTAAGTAATATTCTAATTTTCTGAGGTACTGAATTTGAAATTTTCATTAGTCGTCAGTTATAATCATCAACATTAAAATAAATAAACATTTCATAGATATCAGTCTGTGTGTAATGAATGAATATAAAATACAAGTTTCACTTTTTGAATGTAATTACTGAAATAAATAAACTTTTTCAAGATATTCTAATTTTATGACCAGCACCTGTAAACTCTTCCTCCAAACTCTGAAATCCAGATTTCTAAATGACAAAGATTTACTTTCATCTGAAGAGGACATCAGACCACTGAGCAACAGTCCAGTTCTTTCCCTCAGCAGCTAAGACACTTCTGATGTTGTCTCTGTTTCAGGAGTGGCTGGACTTGAGGAATGAGACATTTGTAGCTCTTGTCTAGGAGTTCATCAGCTGTTTAGGGTGTGACAATATTGAACCTCTTCACAATATTCTAATTTTCCTGAGATACTGAATTTTGTTTTATCATTATTTGTTAGACATAATCGTCAAAATTACAAGAAACAAACACTTCAAATATTTCACTCTGTGTGTAATGAATCTATGTAATTTATGAGTTTCACTTTCTGAAATGATTGACAAAAAAATTGAACTTTTTCACGATATTCTAATATTTTAAGATGCACCTGTATCAGGTTCAACTGCCTTCCCCTCCTTAAACCTCTTCAAAAATGTCCAAACTTCACCCTCACTAATCTTTCCCATTTCCTGCTCCCCATTTCGATTACCTCTGCTTGTCTTTCTCTTTCTCTTCATTCATTAGATCCTCAAAATATCCATAATAATGACCATCACACTCTCCTCACTTGTTATAACATTACCTTTTGTTATCTTTAAAATCCAAACCTGTCTGAGATGTCTGGATGGATGGAAAATCCTAACCTGCTGCACATCCTTTCCACCCTGATCCCTCTGTCTCACGAGTTGATACAAACCAAAGCCCCGTCCCTTTAACATTTGTTACAAGGAAAACTTTGTGTATTTTTTATTAAAAATAAATAAATAAATTGAAGGGTATCAAATTTTAAAAAGGGCACAAGGGTTAAAACCATCTTAAACTTTTAAGAAAGTTTGGCTGCTTGGAAACAAATTATACACAAATGAGGGACGGCTTGAGACTTTTACAGTAGTGTACATGTAACTACTAAATGAATATTATGAATTACACTGAAGGGTTGAACATGTTGCTGAAAATACAAGATGGCTTGCCTTTGGACTTCCCCTTAGAGGTAGGACACCCTTAAAAATTCCTAAGTCAAAATTAACTTGTGAAAAAAATGTTTGCCATTTCTTTAAAAAAAAAAAAAAAAGTATGGTTAAGTCAAACATTTATTTTTTGTAACATATGTAAGATAAATGCCCAGTCAGCTAAAACTTGGAGAAATAATAAAACAAGACACTTACTTTCAGAATCTGTCCACCCTCAGGGTACCTTCTCAAAATATCCTTTAAAAATTCCACTAGTGGAGGTGTAGTCTGTCCAAACCTCCCTGTAACAGACACACTGGGTAAGATTTAATGAAATGACACGAGCTTCTCTTGTTGGAAAGATCCAAATATTTTCATTTTACCTCCTCCTTTTAGGCCTCTTCCCTGCAGTGTGACAGATATGTCTGGACTCCCTGCAGGCACCAAGGTGCCAATCTGCACACGGTCATCCAGCTGTGGAGGTAAAGACAGGAAAAAAAAAAGATGCAAATATTACACTGAAACAGAAATCTTCTGTGCACAATCCGTTTCAAAACGTGTGTAAAATATAAACCGCGAGCAACGTCAGACAGCAAATTCAATTTTAGGGGAGTGGACAATAATAAATCTGTGTTAATCACGACACAAATAAAACTAACCAGAGCTTTTAATGAACGCAATAAAACGGTGTGCAGCTTTCCTTTAACGCCAGCGCTCTTGTTGTGGTGAATTATTGCTCAATGTAGGACAGAAAATATTTTGCTGGTACATGTTTCAAAAATCGATGCAGGGGTTGAGTCAGAGTCTGCACCAGGTCTGGTGATGACGTTCAAGGTGACATTGTCCTGCTGCACTCAGCACTCTGACCACAAAACGTGCTGCACAGCAAACTGAACCGGGAAGTAGAAAAGCTTCACCGCGTCCCATCGCAGGTAAAACAACACAACCCACGGAACAGGATTTATATTCCTCCAGAGCCAGATTAAAACTTTACAGGTGTTTTCAACAAATACAGTTAAAGGAACGATGCATTAGGCAAGAAACTCAACTGGAATAGTGTTTTAAAATCCTATTTTTCTCCCAATATGTCAATATGTTCCTCACATGGCATCCAGTGCAACGCAACAGTGTGTAGAAATATGCAGACTGGTTTCACGTCTGCATCTGTGAACATTTTTATACTGCTAATTTCTTTAAAATTCATCAAGTCCTTCCAAAGTGCGTTGTTTTTATTTTTGGCTTTGTCAGCTGACAGTTCTCTTTTATTGAAAGCATCCACAGAAAGGCTGATCAAGACAGAATGTTTCTTTTCAATGTACTTTTAAAACTATTAGCCCACTGGTGCATTCTCCTCCACTGGACTGCTCTCCATTTTTTATTGCGTCAGCTGAAAGGGCACAACTACTTGAAATATGCACATCCATTTTTACAGCACAATGGGAATATCATCATTATTGTGTTCTAGTAAATGCTTTAAATTGATGCCCTCACCATCAGCTTGGACACAATTTAAGACATAAATATTTGTTTGATATAAAGCTGACCTTAAAGTGCATGTGTTCATAGCTGGTAGGAGGAGTTTGAAGCTAATTTCTGCATGTGAGATCAGGACGGAGCGGTATGGGAACACCACCAGCTGGTGCTTTCCATCAGTGGAGCTCTGAGACACCGGGTCAGCTGCTGCTAGGTCAGACCATTCTCTGAGTACATGAAAAGCTAAGACCTTTGTTTGATCATATGCCATTTACATACATTTACAACAGCCAATAGATCGATCAACAAATACACACTGACCTCTGCCCCTCTTGACGTCAGCAATGACATCATCAGTAACAATGGAGCAACTCAATAACTTGGTAATGGAAAGAAGTGTCGGGACTCTTCAGACAATGAAAGAATTGTTTGCAGGAGCAATGAGGAAACAGGACCCATGACTGCTTTTCACAAATATCATGGAGAAAAATCTCATCTAGCGCGACAAATTGCAAATAAATCACAATAGATTCCAATTTTTAGTCAAACAAAAAAATACCCAAGAATTTTGACAAGGCTACACAGCAAAGCGTGAGAGGCGTATTGGCTGCTCAGATCCTTTGCACCAATGTGGCACATCCACAGCAAAGAACCTCCACTAGGAAACATTTCCGCTAACGTGGCTACAATCGCGCACAACATTCATACTCTGAAGGTGTTCCCGGTGCTCTATGGACAAACAAAACACACTCACCATCCTCCCGTTGTGAAGCAGCCGTTGCTCTCTGACGGGGAGGTTTGTTTCCTCGTACAGCAGTTGTTTGACATCGTGGACAGATGTGAAGGGGGAGACCTGGTGGGACCTCTGGCCAATGCACTCATGATGAACTGTCACCCGTGGCAACCTATAAAAGCCAGATGAAAACTTTAAAATTGTACCTTGTACTTACAGGTTAAACTTACATTTTATACATGATAAAATTCACATGTACAGTGTAGTGTTGCAGTCCATGAACAAAATTACGAGCTATAGTTGAACAAAAGAAGGGGGTGTCACATTTGATCCCTACTGTAGAGGACATTTGAGTCCTGCTGACAATCACTGATCAATCCTTTAGGCAGGAAAGAAACATGAGCATGTAAACCTCACAAAGGGCATTTGTTAATAGTGCTTTAAGAGATACCCTGATGCATGCTCAGTAATCCAGGCAGAAAAATCTAACAACATTAAGTCAGGTCCTCTGAACGGATGCACAAAGTAAAAAACTAAATAAAAATGTTGAAACGTTTCCTCTTTAATCCAAAAGACTTCTTCAGCCTGAGGAGCTGCACTAAACTCAGTCTTATAAATAGCACCTTCTCATAGTGAATCACCCAGTTTGTTGTCGACATCTAGAACCAGCAGGTCACATGATAAAGGAGGACCATCAGCCTAAAGACCAATTGTTAGCACCCTGATGGCCGCTTGCTATTAATTCACAGAGGGCTGAGTGATAATAGTAATAATTGTAAGAGGGGGACAGTTGAACCTGGAGGCCTCCACCCCTGTTTAATGATGGATGGTTTCTTTTCACAAAGATGGCCTCCTTTACTCCTCTCTCAAACCATCGTTCCTCTCTGTCCAGGATGTGAACATCTTCATCCTTGAAAGAGTGACCGCTGGCCTGGAGATGAGTGTAGACCGCAGAGTCCTGGCCTGATGATGTTGATCTTCTGTGCTGGACCATCCTTTTGGCCGGTGGCTGTTTAGTTTCCCAGATGTAAGACTGATCACAGCCCTGACACTGAACAACATACACAATACTACTCTGTGCCGGGGGACTGGATCTTTGGGATGAACCAGTCTTTGCTGTAATGTATTTTGGGGTTTAAAAGCCACTGGGACGTTATGTTTAGAAAATAAACGTCTCAGTTTCCAGGGGTGGAAGTAACAAATTACAAATACTCACATTACTGTAATTAAGTAGATTTTTTTTGGGGTACTTGTACTTTTATGAGTATTTCTTTCAAGTGTGTAATTTTACTCATACTTAAGTACAATTTAGACCATGTAATGTACTTCACTACTATTAAAATCAGAAGTCATGACTGAGTACGGCCACAATTTGAATTAATATTCAAACAGTTCATCTGCATCTTTGTAGCCAATAAGGCTCTCAGATCATGAACGCACCAGTTACCTATGACGTAAGCAAAGGATAACTCTGTAGAGTAGAGAGTCATTTATGAACCCAAGATTTGGAGAAAAAGCCAAAATGGAGACAGAGGACAACACTGTCAACAGAGAAAATGACGAGGTACAGGATGAGGAAGAGTGTCCGTAGCCGTACCTGGAGGAATGTTTCATGTACAGAGGGTGAAGAGGAGACAGGTCCAGATGAAACTTTGTTTGATCTCTACGGTGACAGCAGCTTACAAGACTTCAGCATCTAATCTCAAAAAACGTTGCGGTATATGAGGTTTTACAGCTACCTGCATGATATTGCTGTTTTATTGTTTGTATGTTTGTAGGCCTGTTGCGATAAACAATAAATCAATGAATCACATGATAAATGACAATTATCAACCTCATTTTCATTTATCAGCTTTATCGTTTCTTCGTGTCTCTCTCCTTCTACTGGACACTGGATGACAAAAGGCTCAACTCTAGTGCTCTTCACTGTCCCCTCCCTTTCTCTTTTCTCTTCAAAATCCATTTTAACTCCTATTTTTCTTAAAGGGACACGCTGCTCACTCCCTCACTATCCATCCTTCGGTTCAAACTGTCTTATACTGCCATCTAGTGGTCAAAAAAGGTACCACACACACACAAATTAACCAACATTTCTTCTTAAATTTGACAATAATCACTAATTATTGTCAATTTTCAAACAATATTATCGTTTATTGCAATAATTTCTGAGACAATTAATCGCCCAGCAAAATCTGTTATCATGACAGGCCTGTGTGTGGGTTATTAGTTTGGCTAAGTATGCACAGATCTTAGATACTGTCACTGCCATCAGTTTGCCTGGTACTAAAATAAGACGGAACTTCCGAGCGTCTGAGAAATATGCAGTGAATGTAGCTGTTATATACAGTAAATCAAACTGAATGCCATGTATTGACAACACAATAAAGCATCTATTGGTTAAAAAGTCGTTTTTGAGAAGAGTTCTTTGTTCTTTTACTTAAGTATTTTTTTATATCTCCATACTTTTTACTTGTAATTGAGTACAATTTAAGCAGTGTAACAGTACTTGTAATTGAGGACACATTTTCAGTACTCTTTCAGTTTCTCTGAAGCTCCTGCAACAAACGGAATGACCACTGGTCTGGGTTCCTCCTGCTTTAAGAGACTTTGCTTTTCATTTGCAGACTACACTAAACTAAACTTGCCTCTGATGAAGTATCAAAATTACCATGGTGTAAAGATGGCAGGCAAACCCACAGGGTTGGGACAGCTTCACTAGTCTTGCTTGTTCAACAACAAAGAAAGAAGACCAGTGAAGCCAGTTGACTGGAGCAAAGTGTGTGTGGAAACATCTCCTGCAGGGAATGGTTGAATATCAGACCTTCACATCAATTGGCTTTTCATTCAACCTTTACTTATACAGGTTAATCCCTCTGAGCCTCGGGGACTCATTTACAAGAGACCTGACTATAACAAGCAGCAGAGTGATGTCCGTGAACTCACCACGGCTCCGGGTCCATGTCGCTGCTTTGACTTCCAGCACGAGCACTGTCATTGGATTATCTTCCCCACGGACCGCAGAGACACTGCGCCGGGAAAATGGCTGGGAAGACAAGAGTTTTCTTCGATGAAGCTGCCCGTTCGGCTCAACAACGTGGAATAAATGTGTACCAGAGCGGTACTTGATACAGAAACACAAACATTTTTGTTTGGACGGCGGCTCGTAAACTTGTCGGCCGTACATTTTATCCCAACAAACCTGTGCACGTCCGGATAGCGGTCCTCCTGCCAAAGAGTTCGCACATTTCACCACAGCCCAAGCTCTTACAAACAACAGCAGCAAGAACAATAGCAGAGGACATCGTTATTCCCCGCCAGCGAAACCGTAACTCCTTCAAAGGCCATGTTCTAATAATAATAAATTACAGTGCGCGTGAGACAAACGCAGCGGCGATAGGAGCAAGATGGTTCCCTCCCTGTAACATCGGTCTCGTCTTAAATCCCGTCAGACAGAAGTTTCGGGCTCAAAAACATCTTGTAGGTCGTTTGGGAGTCCGCCACTGCATTTTACCTAAATCCTAAGGCGGCACGTGCATTTACTTGAACTTTAAATCTGTATATATTTCATACTAAATGCTTAATTTACTTTTAAACGCCCTAGCCGGTGCTATCATAACGCATTTTGTTCGCGCATGCGTACAAGTGTATTTGCGGATATATTCGATATTTGATTTGATATATTTGATGTAATAAAATTTAGTTTATAATCCAGGCATACCACAGCAACCTCAATAGTTTAAGGTAAAATATTTCAAATGATCCACAGCAGTTCGGTGCAAACACCCTCCTGTAGAGGCACTGCAACCATATTCCCGGGGATTTATTACCATCTCCTGAAAACCCACCCTTCCATCTGTATCATATTGTTGGATAGATAATGGAATTATGCTTGTCCAACAGCTGTTAAATGATAATGGGACCTTTTTGTCATACACTGAGTTTCTGACCAGATTTAACATACCTGCAACACCTAAAGAGTATGCTGTAGTTTTTGATGCTCTACTAAACTCCATGATGCAGCTCTTCAAAGGAACAAAATCATCATGATCATTTATCTAGAGACCAGCTTAGAAGCCTCATAATGATAGGTGGAATGAAGATCACTAAAAAAACATGTTCCAACAAACTTATAAGAACATATACAGAAGATTACTTTACCTCCCGGTAGATTTTTTTTTTTTTTGGCCTTCTACATTTGAAGAAGTTAATTGGAAGCAAGTTTGGTTAAATGAGGGGGGGGGGGGGGGGAGCATAACAAATAAAATTAAAGAGATTTCATATAGAAAAAAAACCCTGGAAAGATTTAAACTTGATATTGACTATTCTTGTACATTTTGTGAACTACACATGAAAATAATTTCTCATTTATTCTATCGATGTAATCCTACAATGGCATTCTGGACAGATGTACAACAACTCATACGACAGAAAACTGGACAAATAATTCAACTTACAGAGAAAGACATTATATTATGCTTTGACAATAAGGACATGGATAAAGACTTGATCTACTTCACCCAACTTCTACTTTTCCTGGGAAAATTTCACATTCACAAGAAAAAGTGGTCAAACTCCAAGCCAAGCATAACCCACTTCAGCAGAACTTTACATATACAGCACCACTATTAAAGGACTTGAAAACAAAAAGGCAATGAAAATCATCTCAGTTCTAGAAAAACTTAATGTGAATTTATCTATATAACATGTAAATAGATTGTCTTGTTCATTTTTATACGTTGACGCTAATACCTTTGTACCTGTTAATATACCCCTGGCAGACAAATGTTTGTAATGTTGATAAAAGCTGAATTTACAAAAATCTGTATTATATTGTAACGTGAGATTGTTTTTTCATTCAACCTTTATTTATACAGGTTAGTCCCACTGAGCCATGGGGATTCATTGTACAAGAGAAACCTGAATTTTAACAAAGAGATTGTCATTTGTTATTTTGTTCTTGTGTTCTGTTATGTTGTTCAATAGTTAAATAAAGTTAATAAATAAAATTTTAAAATCCTTCCATCTGATCCCAACACAGGTGTTACACTTTATTCTGTGACCACCGGCGTATATTGTGAGCAAAGGAGGCGCTG